CTCTCTGGTTTTCAAAACTAGTTAGGCATTGTTTATCTCTCACATTGTCTCACCCCTCCATCATGGATTTCCCACTTAAGGTGCCCCTATTTCCCCCCTTTTCTCCCTTACTAATACCCTTCTCCTATGGTCCTACCTCTCTTGAGCTCCTTCTTTCCCTTTATCCCCTAGGTTCCTTGTATACCCTTCCATCCCCCCTCCCTTAAACTAACCCAATTTTTATCCATATCTCCCTTATTAAGGCCTGTTTCCTACTGTTCTTCTCTTTCAGGTTCTTTCTTTTCCTTTACCTCCCTGTTTCCTTTCCATTATCCTGGTTCCTGTAGTTATGTCTGGTTGCATACTTATTTATCAGAGTCTGGTTCTTATTTTTATTTTTTACGTGTATGAGTGTATTGCCTGCATGTATGTGAATGCACCCATGTCGTGCAATGCCACGGAGGTCAGAAGAGGGCTTTGGATTCTCCTAGAACTGAAGTTAAGGACGGTTCGTAGCCACCATGTGGGTGCTGGGAATCTAACCCGGTCCTCTGCAAGAACAGTCAGTGCTCTTAACCACTGAGCCATCTCTCCAGCCCCTTAAAGATTTTTTAAAAAATTGTTATCTTATGTGTACTTCGCTTGACAGTGTGGATGTGCACATGTATGCCTGGTGCCTGTGGAGACCAGAAGATGTTGGATCCCCTGGAACTAGAGTTATGGATGATTGTTAGCTGCCATGTGGGTGCTGAGATTCAAACCAGTGCTCTTAATTGAGTCATCTCTCCAGCCCCTGCATCTTACTTTTTAGGCAGGTTCCCTCACTGTACTCAGAACTTGCTGATTCAACTACAGTGAATCCTCCCCTCCAGGGATCCTCCTGTCTCTATCTCCCAGTACTGGGATTACAGATACGTGTCATTATGCCCAACTTTTCATGTGGGTGCTGGGGATCCAAACAGCTCCTCATGCTTACACAGAAGCACTTTACCAACGGAGCCATCTCCCCAACCCCTACTGTGAAAATGTTCTGTTGCATATTGATGTAGACTAGACAAAGCACCCACAAACCCCATCTCCTGGCTTGAACACCAATCACTGCAAAGAGCACAGGTGTTTTATAACCTTCTTTCATGTCATCAAAGATTTACTCCAATGTGTTTTCTCTGCTTCTCTTTAAGCTTATGATTCATTCTCTAGTTAGGCCTATTTTAATTTTTCAGCTCTTCTACTAAAATGCTTTATTCAGCAAATACGTTTTACATTTCTAATCACATCCTTGTTCCCTGATCGTTCTATTTCCCACATAATTCGTGTTCAATATGTATGAACACCTCTTGAGTCTTTCCGGGGGGTACTTGAGTTTCCCAGTGGTCTGCTGTTTTGTATTATCTTGGTTTTCTTTCTTTCTTCCTTTCCTTTTTCAATACTGAGGGTGGAACCCAGGGTCTTGTCTATGCTAGGCAAGTCTTCTACCAGTGATCGATAATCCCACCTGTTTTGGTTGCTGTCTTGGTTTCTGTTGATATGATAAAATACCCTGACAAAAATAACTTAGACCAGCAAGACAGCAAGTGGGTAAAAGCCCTTGCCACCAAGTCTGATGACCTGAGTTTGACCCCTAGGACCCCACACACTGGAAGAAGTGAACTGACTCTTTTTTTTTTTACAAAAAAATTATTGAGAATTTCATACATGCACATAAGGTGTTTTGATCAAATCCATGCCCACTCCCTCCCCTCCAACATTTCCCCCTCTGAAGAGGTAACCCTAAAATATTTTAAGGATTAGATACAGGCTCCCAAATACTTTTGACATTTTGGTCCTTGGAACAGAGTATGTTGCTAACAGGCTGAAGGAAATATTGACTTTTAGCCAAGCAACTGGCTACATTTCTTTGGGGTCTTTTTTACCCTAACTGCCTAGCCAATTCCTACCTCCTATTCTTATTCACGCCATCCTCTGAAGGGGTTACCCAGAATGCCAATAGGGAATAGGAACACTGACCACTCTAGCTTCTTCCTTGCTGAACAGGGACGCAGGGTAAGGCAATTGGAGTACCCCTTTAGTGGGTCTATCTAAAGATCCCCAAATTACATAACTCTTTGTCTCTAAGGGAAGAAGAAAGTCCTTGAATCATGAATGGGAGATGTGAAGGAGAAATTACAAGTTCTAGACGGGGAACTAGAAAAAAGAACAGGGTAATTTTCAAATAGGAGTGAACTGACTCTTGCAAGTTGTCTTCTGATCTCCACACTTGTGCCATGGTACACAAACACATGGGTGTGCTCATGCATAAATGTATCGTGCATACATTAATAAATGAAATTTTTTTAATGTAGAGGCTAGAGAAATGTCTCAGCAGTTTAGAGTTCTGGCTTCTCTTTCAAAAGATCAGAGTTCAGTTCAGCACCCAGGTCAGACAGCTCACAACCAACTGTAACTTCAGCTCTAGGGTATTTTCTGCCCTCTTCTGGTCTCCTTGGGCATATACACACAAGTACACAAATAAAAATAAAATGAATCTTTTTTTATTTAAAAAATTAAGCCGGGCATGGTGGCACAAGCCTTTAATCCCAGCACGCAGGAGACAGAGGCAGGCAGATCTCTGAGTTCAACACCATCCTGGTCTACATAGTGAGTTCCAGGACAGCTGGGGCTACAGGGAGACCCTGCCTCAAAAAGACCAAAAAAAAAAAAAATTAATTAGGGGGCTGGACATGGTGGCACATGCCTTTAATCCCAGCACTAGGGAGGCAGGGGCAGGCAGATCTCTGAGTTCAAGGCCAGCCTGGTCTACATAGTGAGTTCCAGGACAGCTGGGGATACAGGGAGACCCTGCCTCAAAAAGACCAAAAAAAAAAAAAAAAAAAAAAAAAAAAGTTAATTAGGGGAAAAGGGTTTATTTTGGCTCAGTTCTAGGTTACAGTCCATTGCAGGGAAGGCAGCAGGAGTTCAAGACAGCTGGTCATGCAGCATCCATAGTCAAGAAATGGAGCACAGGGGCTGGAGAGATGGCTCAGCAGTTAAGAGCACTGGCTGCTCTTGTAGATGACCTAGGTTCAATTCCCAGCACCCACATGGTGGCTAACAACTGTCCATAACTCCAGTTCCAGAGGAATCCGATGCCCTCTTCTGACTTCTGTGAGCACTGCATGACACAGGTGCACTTACACACATGCAGGCAATATTTGTACGCATAAAATAAATATAGAAAGAAAGAAGGAAGGAAGGAGGAAGGAAAGAAGGAAGGAAAGAGAAAGAAAGAGCAATGAATGCTTGTGCTCAGCTCCCTCTCTTTTGCATTCGGTCCAGGGTCCAGCCCATGAAATGGTGGTGCCCACATTCAGGACAGGTCTTTCCACGTCAATTAATCCAGTTAAGAAAATTCCTCTTTGCGCTTGTCTAGCATGTACAAAGACCTACATTCAATCCCCAGTACCACAAAAACAAAAAGGAAGGAAGGGAGAGAGGGAGGGAAGGAGGGAAGGAGGGAGGGAGGGAGGGAGGGAGGGAAAAGCAAAGAAAGCTATTATATTAGGTTAGGCATGGTGTCCTTTAATCCCAGGACTGGCAGGCAGAGGGAGGTGGATCTCTGTAAATTTGAGACCAGCCTGGTCTACATAGTGAGTTCCAGGCCAGCCAGGGCTACAAAGTAAGACTCTGTGTCAAAAACAAAAAAAGGAAAATCTCTCAGGGTCATGTCCAAAGTCATCACTGAGACTCCCTTCCCTTCCCAAATGATTCCCCATCCTGCCAAGTTGACAGCTGAAATTAACCATCAGAGTTATTACCCTTCTCACAGCATTAGGGATGGAAATAGGGCCTTGTGCACTGAGCTACAGCCCCAGCCCTCAGTTTTCTTTGATATCAGTTCAGCCTGATCCCATAGATCCTTCTGATACATATGTAGGTCTTCCTTGAACAGGTCTTCATTCCTGATTGTTGTGCAGTATTTGGTTAATTCAGCACTGCAACATAACTCCAGATATTCAAACACAACACAGCTCAAGGAACTGGCACAGATGCTTCAACCCTTGAAAAATGTCCTGTCCTGGAAAAGTGTTTCTGTGATCTCAGGGGTGACTGACATTGTGATTCACAGTAGGATCTTGGGCCTCATAACATCAGTTGAGTGTGTGGAGAGGTTGGAGACTGAGCCAGTAAGGTCAACCATGTGGACACCTCATGCCCCCCTGACCAACACCCTGACACCAAGGTCATGGGAGCATTCCTGGTGGGTCCTACCTCATCTTAGTAACCACAGGTCTTTGCGGAGACTTAAGTGTTGTCTATTTGTCTGGGCTAGGGAGACCTAGAAGCTTATGCCTAATTGTGAGAAGTGTCCTTCACTGTATAAACCTTGACTGTGAGCACACTGACTCGTCTAAGTTCTGCAATAACTTCTAGTTAATTCTGAACCCAAAAGGTGTTGATATGGATGCCCAACTGGCTGTGCATTCAAACCCAGTACTGACGAGGCAGCATGGTTATGTTGACCCTGCCATATCCCTATAAGAAGTAAGAATTGCTGTGGTCTCATGCAGTGTGGGTGGGGGGAGGGGATGGAGTACTGCCCAGTGGTAGGGGCAGGCAGAGCATAAGCCTCCAAGCTCTGTACATCTTCAAATAGTGCCAGACTTTATTCTGTGAATCCAGCAATGGGCTTCACTTCTGGCATCGCTAAACTCCAAACCTGGGAGTGCTGACTGAGGGCCATGGCCTTGGTCCTAGAGAAAGTCTAGAGTGGACAACAAAAAGGCAGCCAGGACCTCCGAGCTCAGCAAGAGGTCGTTTGGGTCACCTGCTAAACCACATCAAATATTGTGATATGGGACCTATCGCTGCAGTATAGATGCCAGGGCATAGTAGCTCCCACTCCCAGTCTTTGGACTAAGGAAGGTCAAACTGGAGGAAAGATGGCGGACCAGGGCGTCCACCCTGCTGCATCTCCCCCAGGGGCGCCACAGAGCCTGGAGCAGCAGGAAGCAGAGGGGGCGCCAGGCTGCAGACAAGCAGCCATGGGTGTACCGCGTTGGATGCTGCTGCTGGTGCTGCTGCTGGCGTGTGTGGAGCCTGGGAAGCCCGGTGAGCTAAGGGGTGCTGACAGCCGGCCTGGAGGTTATGGGGGGAGTATGGGGACCATGGATGTCCACTGGAGCTCACCTTCTGACCGCCACTCAGAATCGCATGAAGAGAGCCAGGAGTCAGGTGAGGTTCCCAGGACGCGCGACCTGTGAGGTACACCTGCGTCGGGCATGCAGAGGTCACCTCATCTGTTCCTCTCCTCCACCGCAGATCTCAAGAACATCACGGACATCAAGTTGCTCTCAAGTAACTGATCGGGGCTGGGGAGGACCGGGTGTCTTCTGACCACAGAATAGGGGTTCCAGCTTCATCTCCTGACTCTTTAACATGACCCGAGGATGCTGGGGGGCAGGGAGTGATGGATGCGAGGTTTCTCCCAGCCTCCCACCCACATGCACCCTGGGAACACAGAGTGCCTGACTGAGGAGCTTAGCCGGGTTTCTAATCTGTCCATCCCAGGGCCGTGTGGCCATCGAATGGACATTCGGCCACTGATCGTAGGTGGGGTAGAATCTGTGCGTGGGCGCTGGCCATGGCAGGCCAGCTTGCGCCGGAAAGCGTCCCACCTCTGCGGAGGGAGCCTTCTCAACCACCGGTGGGTGCTCACCGCAGCACACTGCTTCAGAAAGTGAGTCTGGGGGTGGGAGGAGACTGGCAGGGCAGTGGCCTTGAACTCAGTCTCCTAGTTCTTCCAGGATGTTCTATCAAAATATTCCCACATGTTTCCTCCCGGGTCTTTTTTTTCCCCAACCAAAATAAAATCAGGAAGGTAGAGGTCTTATTCCACCTCCCCTTGGAGTGAGAGGTAAATGTTGGGCCCAGACAAGGGTGCATCCACCCTTGGGGGTGGGTGGGTTGGTTGGTTGGTTGGTTGGTTGGTTGGTTGGTTGTAAGACTGCTTCATAGGGCTAGAGAGATAGCTCAGTGGTTAAGAACACTGACTCTTCTTTCAGAGGATGTGGGTTCAGTTCCCAGCACCCACATGGAGGCTAGCCACCATCTGTAACCACTTCCAGGAGAATGGCACCTTCTTCTGACCTCCACAAAAGCATTGCACAACAGAAGTGCACATACATACATACATACATACATACATACATACATACATACAGGCAATAGGTCATTTTAAAAAAAAAAAAGACAGTTTCATGTAGCTCAGCTTGGCCTTGAACTCTAAGTATAACAAAGGATGACCTTGACCTCCTGATTTTCTTGCCTCCACCTCCTGGAGTGCTAGGATTACTGACATTCACCCCTATGCCTGGTTTACCATGCTGGGAATGAGAAACAGGGATTTATGTATGCTATACAAGCACACTGTCAGCTAAGTTACATCCCCAGCCCCGTACTAGGTATTTAACTCTGTCCTGCCAGGTGCCACACTGACTCCACATCTGCTGAGTCCTTTTTGGACTGCACAGACATTTTCCTAGATTTGACTGGGCTCAGTGCCCTTAGGAGGTGACAAGATCACTGGAGACAGTGACCTTCCTGTTCCTCCCTTAGAGCGCCCAGGAGCAAGGAATCCGGTTCTAGCCTCTCTGGACTCTGGTTCCTATAGGGGCCCTTTGAGCCATAAGAAGGACTTGGTTGGCACATGCCTTTAATTCCAGCACTTGGGAGGCAGACAGGAGGATCTCTGTGAGTTCGAGGTCAGCTTGGTCTACATAGCAAGTTCCAAACCAGCCAGGGCTACATTGTGAGACCCTGTCTCAAACAAAACAAAACAAAACAAGACAAAGTGTAAAGCGAACAAACAAACAAACAAACAAACAGAACAACAACAACAAAAAGAACTTGGTAATGACTAAAGATGAGCAAGTAGCTGAGTCCCCACAGTCTCACCTCAGATGGGGCCCAGGTGGGCTCAGGTGGCCAGCACTCCCTCCAAGGGCCCTGGTTGATTTCTTCTTCTCCCCAGAATCATTGATCTAGAAAAATGGACAGTCCAGTTTGGGCAGCTGACTTCCAAGCCATCTCTCTGGAACATCGAAGCCTATTTTAGCCAGTATAGGGTAGAAGACATCATTGTGAACCCCAAAGCCACAATGATGTTTAACGACCTCGCCTTGGTGAGGCTGGCCTCCTCAGTCACCTACAACAAGTACATCCAGCCCATCTGTGTCCAGTCCTCCACTTCTATGTTCCAGCACAGCCCCGACTGCTGGGTGACTGGCTGGGGGGTTCTTCAGGAGAATATGAGTAAGCTGGGGACAGATGGAGAGGGAATGTGGGTGGGCTGGGTACTTTCCTTGTTCCTGTTCCAGCCCCAGTGGACCTCGAAGCCTTTCCCTGGCCTCTAAGCTCTGCCAAGCCCTTTGCCCATCTGCTCACCATTCTTCCCTCATTACTTCAAGGAGCCCCCTTCCCTTCCAGAGAAGGTATGGACCAATGGCCAGAGGTACAAGAAAGAGACACTTAAACAGGTCTGAATTCCCTAGCCAGCAGCGATGGCTGTTCAAGGGTAGCCTTCTGACAAAGGCCTCCTTTACATTGAGATTTAATTCATAACTTAAAAAATATGAAATCAAACAGTATTAAAGTATACTGTCTAGTGGTCAGTAATGTAGTCACAAAGTTATACAACTATCATCACTGTCTCCCATCCAAGTACTAACCAGGCCCGACCCTGCCACCTTGCTTAGCTTCTGAGATCAGGCACATTCGGAGTGGTATGGCTATAGGCTATCACCACTGTCAAAAACTGCAACATTTCCATGATTTCCAAAAGAAAGCCTCAGTCAGGCACAGTGGTATCATCCCAACACCTGGGAGATGGAGGCATGAAAATCAAGAGTTGAAGGCAACTCTCAGCTACACAGCAAATTTGAGACCAGCCTGGACTACATGTGACCCTGTCTCAAAAAAAAAAATAAATAGAGAGTTGAGTATGTAGCTCAGTTGGCCAAGTGCTTGCCTAATGCACATAAAGTCCTGGGTTCAAGCCCCAATTCTACATAAATCAGGTGATGATCATACACCTGTAATCTCAGAACTCAGGAGGTGGGGACAGAAGGATCAGAAGTTCAAGGTCATCCTCTATTACATAGCAAGTTTGGGGCTAGTCTGGAACATACCAAACTGTCTTAGAAAAAAGAAAGAAGGAGGGGAGGGGGAGGAAAAAGGAAAGTTAGTACTTCTCTGTCTTCTCTCATTTCTTCCAATCCCCTCATTTCCATAGAATCTGTATCCCCTGGCAACCCAGACTACTTTCTGTCTTTGTGGATTTGCTAACACTCCATATAAATGCAAGCAGTAGCCGTTTCTAAAGATAGTCTTTCATGTAATGAAGTGCCTTCAAAGGTACCCCTTGTGGCATGCAATTCTCTATTATTAATGTCTAATTCACATAACATTCACATAACTGCCTCATTCAGTGCATTTGCAATATTGTCCAACATCTGCACTCCAGGGACCCTCCTTCCTGCCCAGCCTTCACTTCTCACGAGTCTCTCCCTGCAGTCTGATAGCCATACCCAGCTTTCTGAGTCTGGAGCCATCATTCCCGTAGCTGCTTATAAATGGAATCATTTAGTTTGTGACTCTCTGGGTCTGGCTTCTTTCATATACAATCTTTGTCTTTAAGATTTATCTATAGCTGGGCATGGTGGTGCATGCCTTTAATCCCAGCACTCAGGAGGCAGAGGCAGGTGGATCTCTGTGAGTTTAAGGCCAGCCTGGGTCTATATAGTGAGATCCAGGCCAACTGGGGCTACAAGGAGACCCTGTCTCAAAAAAAAAAAAAGGATTCATCCATGTCCATGTCAGGGCTGGAGAGATGGCCCAGTTGGTAGGTAAAATGCTTGCTTTGCAAGCATGAAGACCTGTGTTTGGTCCCCAGAACCCATGTTTAAAAAAAAAAGCCAGGCATGGTAGCATGTACCAGAGAAGTGAAGACAGGCAGATCCCTGGGACTCACTAGACAGCCCCAGTTTAAGAATGGTTTATTTTGCAAGCTCCTGGTTTAGTAAGAGACCTAGTAACAACAAACAAAAAATCACAAGGTAAACAGTACCCTAGGAACAATACCCGAGGATCAATACCTGAGGTTGTCCTCTGGCCTTCACACACATGCACACATGTTAACACACACACAGACAGACACAGATTCATCCATGTCATAGTATATATATATATATATATATATATATATATATATAAACTTATTCATTTTTGTTTGCTTGCTTGCTTTTTTTTTTTTTTTTTTTTTTTGGTCTTTTTGAGACAGAGTCTCCCTGTAGCCCCAACTGGCCTGGAAATTTCTATGTAGACTAGGCTGGACTCAATTTCACAGAGATCTGCTTGCCTGTCAAGGGCTGGGATTAAAAGTGTATGCCACCACACTTAGCAACTTCATTCCATTTATTTTTGAATGTCTGAATAATAATCTATTGCAGAGCACAATTTACTTAGACCATTTCGTTTATCCATTTATGTGTTGATGCATACTTGACTGCTTTGTACCTTCTGAGTTTCTGAATGAGAAGCAATGAATATTAATATGCAAGTTTTTAGGGTTTTTTTTTTTTATTGTTGTTTTGACACAGTGTCCCTAGTCCCAGCCCACCTGGAACTCTGTAGACCAGGCTGGCCTTGATCTTACAGACATCCTCTTGCCTCTGCCTCCTGAAGGCTGAGGCTGGGATTAAAGGTGTACACCACCACACCTGACACTGAACTCCTCTTTTATAAAAAAATTTACGAGTATGAGTGTTTTGCCTATATGTATGTAAGTGCACCATATGTATGCCTGGTGCCTGAGGAGGCCAGAAAAGAGCATTGGATCCCTTGGAACTGGAGTGAGGGGTGGGTGTTAGCCATAATGTGGTTGCTGGGAACCAAACCCAGGACCTCTGGAAGAGCAGTATATGCTCGTAACCACTGAGCCATCTCTCCAGGACCCCTTCTTTTTTTAAAATTGTATATCTCTTATTAATCCTTTGACAAGTTCACACATGAAAACAAAGCATCTTGAGCATATCCACCTGAATTCCCCCTCCTGTCCCCCACAGGAATCCCCAACACACCCCCATGTCCTCTCCTTTTTTTTGTAACCCACTGAGTCCAGTCAATGCTGTCTGCTGGAATATTGGTTGATTTTTTTCAGTTGATCTTATACAAGTCTTGTGCAGATAGCCATAGCTACAGTAAGTTCATGAGTGTAATAGTCATGTCACCTCCAGAAGTCAAAATTTCATGGCACTTCTCCCCATCCTCTGGCTCTTACATTCTTTCTGCCCCTCTAGTGTGATGCTGCCTGAGTCTTGGGCAAGGGGTGGTGATATAGATGTCCACTTAAGGAAGAACACTTGATAGTCCCATATTCTCAGCACTTTGACCAGATACGAGTCTTTGCATTAACTGCTGTCCACTGCAGAGAGAAGCAAAGGTTGAGGGAAGCATTAATCCATGAGTATAAACATCAATATTTAGAAGGAAGTTTGACAACATACCCATTTAGCAAAACAATACACCAGTAATAGGTTCCCTCTAGGGGCTATGAACTCCTGAGCCATGGGCTTTTGACCAAGTTTAGAGTACCAGGCATGAATTCCCTCCTGTGGAGCAAGCCTCAAATCCAATCAGAAAGCAGTTGGTTAAGCCCGGTATGGTGGTACATGTCTTGAATCCCAGCACTCTGGAGACAGAGGCAGGCAGATCTCTGTAAGATCAAGGCCAACCTGGTCTACCAAGTGAGTTCCAGGCCAGCTGGGGCTACATGGAAACCCTGTCTCAAACAAACAAACAAACAAACAAACAAACAAAGCAGTTCATTACTCCCATAAACTTTGTGCCAATATTGCACCAGTGGGCACATCTTGCCTAGAAGGTCAATATTGTAGCATACAGGATTCACTGCTGGGTAACACCATTGATCGCTTTTCTCCCCCCATGGCCTGCATAGCACTTTCTGGGATTAAAGACATGCACCATCATGCTCAGCCAAATGCACATCTAAATAGGTACAAAAATAACTGAAGCTAGGCATTATGGTGCACGCCTTTAATCCCAGCACTGGGGAGGCAGAGGCACGTGGATCTCTGTGAGTTCAAGGCCAGTCTGGTTTACATAGTGAGTTCCAGGCCAGCTGGGGCTACAAGGGGATCCTGTCACACACACAAAAAAAGAAATGCATTTGCCTATCTATGTTATTTTATATTACCAACAAAAATAAGAGATAGCTCCCCATTTTTGTCAACATGTGATATTATTTTATTTTACTTCATTTTGCCAGGATCTTGCTATGTAGCCCAGACTGGGCTCAAACTCAAGACTCTCCTGTGTCAGCCTCCCCAGTGCTGGGAACATGCACCACACCACTGTAGCTGGCCTTCCAGTTCATTGTGATTTTCATTTACATTTCTCAAACCAAAGTGATTTAGAGTGTGTTTCATGTGCTTGTTGGCCCTTTGTGCTTCTCTCTAGGAGAAATAAATGCTCAAGTGCTTCACCAGTTTTTTAAATTATTTTTTTAAATATTTTATTAGCTGGGCGTGGTGGCGCACACCTTTAATCTCAGCATTCAGAAGGCTGAGACAGGCGGATCTCTGTGAGTTCAAAGCCAGCCTGGTCTACATAGTGAGTTCCAGGACAGCTGGGCTACAGGGAGACCCTGTCTCAAAAAGACAAAAAAAAAACATACATACATATAGATTAGATAGATAGATAGATAGATAGATAGATAGATAGATAGATAGCCGGGCGTGGTGGTGCACACCTTTAATCCCAGCACTTGGGAGGCCCTCGGGAGGCAGAGACAGGCAGATCTCTGAGTTCAAGGCCAGCCTGGTCTACATAGTGAGTTCCGGGACAGCTAGGACTACAGAGAGACCCTGTCTCAAAAAGACCAAAAAAAATATTTATTATTTTATTTCTTTTATGTGTATGAGTGTATTGCCTCCATGTATATAAGTGCACCCATGTTGTGCAGTGCCCTTGGAGGTCAGAAGAGGGAGTCAGATCCCCTGGAACTGGAGTAACAGATGATTTTTAGCTGCCATGTGTGTGCTGGGAATCAAACTTGGGTCCTCTGGAAGAGCAGTAAGTATTCTTAACCCCTGAGCCATCTCTCCAATCCCAAAAGATCATTTTTCTCAAAGGCACTTTCTACATACTTGTTATAATGACTTAAAACTTTGGCAAGTAGTTTATTTAAATTTTTTAATTTATTTGTGTGTGCGTGTGTGTGTGTGTGTGTGTGT